CAGTCTAAAACGCCATATGTTATATGAATTTAATTTTTAGGGGTATCAAAAAAGTTTTGCAAAGTAATTTTGGAAAAGTTTCATTTTTTATCAACTATTTTGCCTGCCTGTTTGTTGTTAAACACAAAGCTACACAATGAACTATATGTGCTCTATCTGCCGCAAGTATCGAACTCCAACTTTTAGCATTATACGCCCCCAGACTTATCGATAAGCCATTATTATCAACGAAAGTAAAAGTTAATTGCAAGAGAAATTTTTGACACTACAAAGAACGTAGAGAGATCGGTAGAAATTATGTGTAAAATAATAATGCTTTTGTTATTCTGTACAGTTTGCATTGGATACAGAATTGGATATTACGTGCAATTATCGTGAAATTTATTCACAAAAGTCTTTTTAAAAAGAATCGATAATTGTTCCTAAATGTATGTTAAGGTCGGTGTCTAAAATCAACTTATATTTTAATATTTAAACAGTTGATACAATGCACTTAAAAAATTCAAACTATTTACAACAATGAGGTTTACTGCAAAGAGCTAAAGACAAAAAAAATCTAAAAACCTAAAAAATTAAGTTTGTTTGCTTCATAATTTTCGCGTAAAATACACGTATAGCTCTTGGGCTACTCTTATATGACCGAATAGTGGGAAATGACTGTCACTCTTATAGCGCACCCACGGCCTCAAAATGCTGTTCTTGTTGTCTTCTTGATGCAAAGCTTCAAGAATGGGCTATCTGTGTTCAGCCCACCGCGGAGTATCGAACCCCGGATTTTAGCGTTTGAAGTCCATAAGCCTACTGCTGAACCACCGCGGGGACCCCAAAGTGCAGAGTGCATTTTTGCGGGAACTAGTCGCGAACCATGCACCCTCAAATTCACAGTCTTAGCACGCCAGGCCCAATAATGAAGAAATGCTCGCAAATATGTTAGATCTTGTATCCCGTAGTGGAATTAAACTTACAAAACAGGATATTTTTTTTATTATTATCAATAAATTAGTTTACTGTTAAATACAAGTAATGCGCAAATGATTGGTGTTAAAAAAGTAGTAAAGTGTCAAATTAAAAAAAAAACTTAAATTATTAAAAACAACGTCGATAAGAAACGGTAAATACGAATCATTTAGATAATTGTTTTACGAAATGAATCTCTGATAATGATATATTTGCTCGCAAAAATGATGAAAACGTGGAAAAACGAATTTTTTTTTATAATTTTATTCAGTTAGACATTTGAGAGTAATTTTATGATTCACTTTAACGGACACGCATTTTTATTAATGCATCTGGTGCTTTTATGAGGGTAACGTTCTTCAAAATAATGCTATGAAATACGTTTAATAATTAATTACAGAGATTAGGGTAAAATACGCTTTATTATTCCAATAAAATATAACATGCACCGACATTAGCAAGCAAGCAATCTATCATCGGGATTTAGGTTATGTAGACAACCTGGGAGGGTCAGGTACTAATATAGACCTCTTCCTCCAGCATTAGCGGTCGGTCGGTACTGGGTTTTAGGTCCTTTTAGACCTGGGAGGGTCAGGTACTAATATATACCTCTTCCTCCAGCATTAGCGGTCGGTCGGCTAATGGGTTTTAGGTCTTTTTGGACCTGGGTGGGTCAGGTACTAATATAGACCTCTTCCTCAAGCATTAGCGGTCGGTCGGCACCGGGTTTTAGGTTTTTTGGACCTGGGAGGGTCAGATACTAATATATACCTCTTCCTCCACCATTAACGGTCGGTCGGTACTGGGTTTGAGGTCTTTTTGGACCTGGGAGGGTCAGGTACGCCTTCGACCTCTTCCCCCCTCCTGAACTAATAACTTAAAACTGCCTGTTAAATGCTGCCGAAGCTATTCTGACTACTACTCCCTTTCAGGGCCACGTCCATTGAATAGAATACCAGTAGCATTTGGTGTATGTATAACATTATCTCTTCATTTCGGTACTGACACTCACTGATAGTTCATACATTGTATTTTGCTTTATTAGGTCGTGTAAGTTCACAAACAGTTCAATGTCGCAACACACTTTTAACAGGAGATAAACATCAACGCGTTATTTAGCACATAAATACCCTTTCTAAATACTGCGAAGATATCAAACTCAAGGTTTGTTAATTTTTATTGTCTTGGTGGGTGGTCTTTATATTTAATATAATAATGTAACGGGGAGAGACACTTAGCCATATCTACATCATGTATGATATAGCGATCTATTTCAGTTAAAAAAATCGTTTTTCTATACAGCGTGGTCACAAGTAAATAGACACCACCTTTTCAGAAAAAATGAAATTTTTCAGTAATATTCACATAAATTGATATATTTATAATTTAATTAATATCTAGTAGATCTTCCTTTCGCTTCGTGGAGTTCGTTGATCCTATGGGGCATCGTGAGAATCATCTCGTCAATTTTAGATTGTGGGATTTTCGCCCACTCGGGCTTCAAAACTTGGAGTAGATCGCTCTTCG